AAATTATTTTTTATTTAGTTATAATTATGAAAAATTACTTCTTTTCATTAAAAAACTAAAACAAATAGATTTTGTTGAGTTGGATCCAAGGAGGTAATGCTCCTAATCATAAGTTATTATGGATATTTTTTTTACAAAAAATTAGTAACGGAATAAATTTTATGTTAAAAGTACGTATAAAAAATCTTTTAAACTAAAAAAAAACACCTATACATAATGGATATTTATCTAACTGAAAAAAAAATCTATTTGCTTTATTCGACTAATTCTTTAAAGGTAAGATTTATAGAAATAATAGCAAAAAAAATAATAAAATATGAAACCTTTATAATAACATGATACAATTAAAAAATTATATTTATTAAAACATATCTAATAAACTAAATACATTATATTATTTTATCTTAGTTGCTAGTAACCTAAGCTCCCTCCATTTCTCTCACAGAATAATATGTATATTAAAGGATATAATAAACCTATAAAATATAATTATCAAACTATGTTAATTAAATACAATTTTAAGAAATTTAATTAATTTAACTTATGAGATTTTGAGTAAAATATACGAATTTGAGGATTTTAGGAAGAAAAGAGATTAACAACAGGAAAAAAACTTATAAAATTACAATTACACTTAATTTAAATTAAATAAATTAAAAATATAATTAAGTATAAATTTTTTAAAAATAAATCAATAATCCATATTATATATATATAAAGTATAAGCAAAAAGTGATTTATATACATTCAAGGATCTTATTAAATGAGATTGACTTGTCAAGAGTATATGTTCCTACGTTTTATTTATGATTCGTGATGGAAAAGCTATTAGGATTGACATCACATATATTTATATGAAGGCTAAGTCATCTCTCCACTCCTCTTGCAAGTGTTTTATCTATTAAAAGTTACATTTTAACAAAAGATGATAAAGATAAGAACAATTTTAAATTCAAACTCGCACTACTACTACTAATAAGTTATTCAAAAATAATTTTTGCAAAAATGATTCTCTTTTCTAATAATAATATAAAATTGAACTTAACATGTCCGTATTATTACTATAACTTGTTTCTTAAATTTCTTACTCTATTGAACTTATTAATGAATATTATGTACTGCTAACGTAGTTGATGAATAAGAATGAGAATAGAATGGGCTTTCTTGATGTATTAGAGAGTGGATGAGATGGGAATGGGTTCAGGGAGGCAGGGGGAAATGATCAAAGATATGTATGTGTAGCTGTATTGAATTGCTCATTATTTAGTGTCCTACGCATAATTATATATACACACTCATAATGGTCTTACATGAATTTACGAGAGAAAAAAAAAAGAAAAGAAAAGAAGAAGAAACAGATTACGACAATTTCATAAATGGTTGATTGTTGTAAAGCCTTAAGATGCCACCATCAGTGTATTTTAAGGATCACAATAGTGTGCAAGAAACTTAATGGTATCTATAATTAATGAGTCAACGGGTACTTACACATACTACCTCCATTACACTTGTGTTTTAGTTAAATAAAATGTTCTTTTAATGCATATTTTTTTCTACAAACTAAAAAAATAAATGTCATTTTAATTAAAATTAATTATAAAAATAATAAAATATAATCGTTAGTTAAAATTATAAACCTAGTTAACTTATAACTAAAAAAATTTAAATATTCATGAATCGTTTTATAAAAAACACATACATAGGGTAAAGTGAATATACCAATTCATACCTGTAATTTTTTATGACAATTATCGAAATTCATTTAATGGGTAAATTTTTTTACCCACTCATTAAAAATAAATTTTGTGGATGAAATTATCATTTCAAAATTTCCAGAATCTTTGATGTAGTCAAAAACAAAATGAATTTAGTTCTGAGCAGAGCTCAAGCTCGAAACCGTGCTTGATTTCCCCTTTCCTAACTAGCTAATCAATTTGCAAGCCTGTTCAAGGCAAACATGAAAACGAAATCTTTCTTAAAATCATTTTTAATTAAATTTCAAACACAAAATTAATTGTGAATCAGATCTAATTAAATTCATTTTTTTTTAATAATTTCAATATTCTTCGATTTAAAAATTATATGTTGATGAATTTGAACAGAAGTTCATAATTTAGATGTTAGAGACAAAACCATAATCATATGGCCTCCTTTTGAGTGATATAATAGAGTAAACATCAACGAAACAGACGAAACCCCGTCTTAATCTGCCTGTCTTTGGAGTGTTCCTCCAGTTACTACAAAACTCTATTAAACATATTTTTATAATTAATGCTCAATCTTTAAGATGATTTGATCACGCAAGAAAGATATAATTGACCAATTCTAAAATGACAACGCTTTTCCCAATGTTGTATCCCACGAATTCTTGTTCCCTAACATTGTCATATTTAATTAAATCAATATATACGACTAAGTTCATCACTCAATTTCAGAAGATCCAGTGTTTTGCAAAATCAGGCCCAAATTAAACTAAAAAAATTGGTAACAACAAACTCTCCAATATTCTTCTTCATCACTTTTTTATTATTCGTTAAAATATTAAAAATTATAAAATTATTGATTAAATTTATCAAATTAGAGTTAGATTTACCAAATTTTATAATTTTTAATTAATAATAATAAATATATTTTTGGTTCTCATATTTTTATAAATTTTTTTTTAATCCTTTAAAGAAATTTTTATAATCCATGTTCTTTAATAAAATTTTATTTTTAATCCTTAATATTGATCTAGTTTATTAAGATACTATCACGTGTTAGTTTTTAGTTTGACTAAAACAAAAAATTTAAAAGTAGAAATTAATAAAAATTCATTAAAACATAAGGATTAAAAATATGTTTAATCCTATAAAATATGTTAAATTTTAACGTATTTTACTAAGCAAAAGTATGGCGAAAGCATTAAGCCTGTATGCCACAAATCCATCAACTTTAATTACCATGAATTTTGGATTTAAATTTTAAAATATATGTACCACACAATCTGAAGTCACTATCTCGTTATTAGCTCTAACTATATTTAAACTTCTTCTTTTTTGTCAAAATATTAAACTTCAAAAAAAAAAAATTGTCTGAAATTAAACTCAATTGAAATTAGGGTGTTTGCCACACGCGATAAATGAAACCCTGTTGGGACCCAAAGCCCAGGAGCTGCTCAAGGAGGAATTGCCACTTGTGAGGCATTTTAAGGTTCCATGCTACATGTGTTAAACTTTGAATCTTACACAAACCAAAATAGTTGTTGGAAAGGACCCACAAAGACCATTATATTGCCCAAAACTAGCAAGAGTTACGCAGACTTTTGTAAATGATTGCTTGGCTTTTGGTTTTTGTTTATTTGTCATAATTCAAAAATCCTGCGGATAAAGATACACCTAGCTAGACAGCATCTATAACTAGTCATCTTATTTATCATTCATAGGAATCTTAAAATTTCGTTTCATCGCACAAGTGTCTATAAGCAGCTCATCAAATTCACACACGTTTAGACATTTGGTTCAATCATATATTAGTTTCACTTTCAGCACGACTAGCTACTATACGTACTACAAAATCATAGCGTTGATCGTTTCTTAGGGAGTATTTCTATTTTCTTTTTGAACGGAAAATTGGGTTGAATATTGGATAATTATTTTCTTACTAAGACAGATTAAATATGAATGGAAAGTTCGTGAGCTAATTCAATCCTTATTAATTCCAGAAGTTATCCACATAACTAAATGGAGGATGCCATCCACCAAATGTTAGAAGATATTGAAGTTTGGTTTTCATCTCGCTCTACCTGTAATCTTTGGATTTGCATATAAATTTACACATAAAAATTGTCATATTATGTAAATTTGAATAACAATAGAAAACAAAAAGTATCATAGAGAATTGTATAACTGACAAATTAATATAGATATGAAATGAAAGAATAATGAAATCCAAAACTATACGCTCATCAATCTTTTCCATGTATACATTCTAGAGAATTCTTCAAGCTTTATATTTCCATATGATTAGGTATAGGGTATAGTCATCATAAAGGATTCTGTTTATTCTAACGTTAAAAAAGGGATAAATTAATAAAACCCATACAATCATAATGAAACAAGCAAGAAGCAACTTAATATCAACTCAACTAATATAAATAACTTTTCGGCTTGCCGTATGAAGTTTGGGTTTGATGCTTTGTTGGCATATGAATGTGTTTGAGGAATTAATAAATTAATTATTTATCAAATATACCTGATAATCATTAGAGCTGAATGAAGACTTAATTTGCGGACACTTTGCTATGCGCTTGAACAATGCCAACCTATCATGACGTTTACGATATTTTGACTTCCCCTTGTTTCCTTTCTTTTCATTTTCATGCACAATAGTTTTTAATTTGCATAGCTATCATGTAAAATAATTGAGAGAAAACTGAGCCGAAAGAAAACCAAAAACTAGAGACCAAAAGGTATCCTGTCCATTTTGATATAGTTAAACTCATATTTTTTTTATATATATTTTATAGATATCATGCCAATTGTACCTATAATTTTTCTTCTCTTGTGATATAGTTGAATTATGATATTCATCTCCGTGAATTTAGTGCGTATATTTGTCTGCTTAACATAACTAAAATTATTAAGATAGTTGCATATGTGGCATATCATGTTTATGTTGTTTTGTAAAAGAAATTCCAACAAATACTGATGAAGCCAAGATTCAACTCAAACACATCATAAGGTTTAAATTATTCATAAAATTAGCTGGCACATTTTTGTTCATATTTTATATGATCATTGTTCAAAGGATCAAGAAGAAAGAAAACCTGCCACGAGAGAGAGGCAAGGGTATTTTTGTACTTGTACGGGATTAATCATTTGATACTCAATCATCTATCAAACACATATATAAACTCTACACGACTCATTTGGAACTCCCACCAAATCTCAATTTTATAAACACACTCTAATAAGCCTCACCACAAGCTTTACACTCCTGTCACTTCTCTAGCCTCTAGCATGGCCAAACCACCCTATCTAGAGGAAGATTACATGAAATACTACAAACCAAAAGATCATCATACCCATAAAGCAACGAGCCTATCTTTCTTTGCCTCTATCTTCTTCCTTTTCATCTACGTATGTGTCTTCTATACCTTCAACCTATCTCCCTATGCTCTCTTAAACAACAACGTCTTTTGGTTTTTCATGTCCAACACTCTCATCCTCATCATTGCTGCTGACTATGGAGCATTCTCTTCGTCCAAACAGAAACAAGATTTCTATCAAGAGTATGTAAAGCATAGTCAAGCAATAGCGAGAAACTATGTCCACAAAGATGATGAACAAGTTGATAAACAATGCATTGATCCCAAACAAGAGTTGGGTGCTGAGTTGTCAGAGGAGAAGAAAGAATCTATCTCTGATCAGAGTAGTGATCAGAATATCCCTGAACGTGTACTTGAAATTGTGGCAATAAATCAACCTAAGAAACCTAGTAAGAGCTCCAATGGAAAAAGGTCCACACTTCACTTGCAAGTAGATGATGGATATAAAGAAGAATTTAAGGAGAACGCAATCCCTGCAAGAATTTACCGGCGAAGTAAATCTGATAGACACAATAGAGCCAAGCATGTCGTGAATGAGGAGCAGATGAACAAGGTGCAAAGATCAGAGACTATGAAGGTTTCTGCTAATGTAGAGGAAGAAAATGAGTTTTCTACTATGTCAAATGAGGAACTTAATAGGAGGGTAGAGGAGTTTATTCAGAAATTCAATAGGCAGATTAGACTTCAGGCAACAAGAAATGCTTATCAAATTTAGAAGGGTTACAAAGTGTTAGAATCTACAGATTATACAAAAAATTTTGCTGTCTTTGTACCTTTCGTACGTGTTTAAAATGTTGCATTTTGCTACAGAATGACCAAGTCTTAAGCCTTCCTCGTGGTATAATCTATATTTCTGTTTTCTATTTATTTGTATCATATACACCTTTACTTTCTTCTCTTCATTGTTATTTTTACCTATTAGATATGACCAAAAAAAAAGTATCTAGATAAATTTTTAGAGAAGTTTTTATGGAAAAAATTATCATAAAAAGTAAATAAATTTTTTTCACAAGTTAAAAATAATTTATTTTTTAAAATTTTAAAGAAATTAAACAAAATGTTTTTTAGATCTTTTAAAAAAATAAAAAAGAATAAGTTGTTTCTAATTTATAAAAAAATATTTATTTTTTATATTAATTTGTTTTCGTATAAAAATTTCTTTAAAATTTTTACTCTAAATGTACCGTTATTTAGTTGAAAAATGGAGAACTAAAGTAATAACTTTTTATTTACAGATATATAATCGAGACCACAAATATTTGTTCTTAATTAAACACAGCTGCGACAAATCAACAATATTAATATATAATATACTCAGAAATTATTGTTAGTTAAAAGTGTTGTGGGCCATTAACTATATTAGGCGTACATCTTTATTGTTCATTCATGTAAAAGGTGAAAGCAATGGATGACTTAATTGTGTAAGGTCTTGTACATCATGATGCGATCCATACTTACTGTGTAGGGAGAGCTTTAATTAGGATTTGTTAGAAAGAAAATGATTGTTGCACGTCTTATTTTGGGCGTGAAATAGATAGATAAAAAAAGAAAAAATAGAAAGAGAATTAAAAAAATAAAAGATTTAACCAAAAAATAAGATAAAAATGTTAAAAAATAAATATAAAAACTATTATTAAAATTACCTTTATAATAATGTTTGGTGTCAAAAAAAGGCTATCATTGCAACTTTGTTAGCTCTGGAATATTCTTGCACTAAAGAATGTGATATATACTAAAGGTTAAAAATTGGGTTTATCTTTGTTTAGATCTTTTTGTTTGACAAAAATTAAACAATAATATAAATATTATGAATTTATATTAATATACAATACACCCTCTATTAATAAATAATAATAATTTTTATTAAATAAAAATGATGACAAAGGTAATCTTAATTTATGTATTTTTTTTCATTAATATATGATTTTTCTTATACATTAAGAGTAATTATTTTTTTTAAAAAAAAATTCATACATATAAATTTCAATCTTCATTATAGAATTATGTGTGTAAGAGACTCTAGTTACTTTCACTCAAACCAACACAATTAATAAAGAATCAGTTTTGATTTGTAATAAAAAATTTACTAAAGAAGAAATTTAAAATTTAAGACATACAAACTCAAGTTTAATCATTCTAAATGCATCCACTTTGCCTGACAGTACTTGTTAGAACAGTATGAATTTCTCTACAAAATGATGAGAAATCATTCTTTAATGTTTTTTTTTTAATTGTAGTGAGAAAAAGAGTAAATAAATGCAATTTGATAGAACTAGGAGTTCTTGAACATTATTTCACGTGGAAAGGCATAGTCTAATATCCTTAATTTCTTAATTTAATTTTAGGTAAAAGAAAATTTTTATAACAAGATATGGAAAATAAAATAAAGTTCTTATACATATAATATGAAAATGTAAAAATTAAAATTTCTTTTGCATGATTCAATTTACGAAAAATGCAAAGATATTCAGAATAAAAGAAAATATATATATATATATATATATATATATGTTACAATTTGCTATATTTAAAATTATGTTTCAATAGTAAAGAATATATATATATATATATATATATATATATATACTAAATTTTATTCATGTATAAAAGTTTAATATTTACAAATCACTACTAAAAATACATCATAACTTAAATTTACATAATTACAATATTAATAAAATAATCTAAATCCTAACGAGTACTCTATATCCACACAAAAAGTATTAATGATACGATATTAGACATCATCTAATGAGAATTAAAGAAGATCCATTGAAGATAAAATCTTAAAGGCATTGAAAAAGTTTCAAGGACCAATGATAAGGATAAAGACAGAGAAGATAAAGAGAGACTTAGAGAGCCCAATTTGGTGTTAGAAGAGTCCAAAATGGTCAATTATATATGCTTAGAAAACTTGTACTCCAATGTGCTCCATAAGGATTTAATTGCTATGTTTAGTTTATTTATTTTAATATTAGTCATTACTTATTTTGAATTTTTATTTAGGATAAAATCTTGTTATTTTATTTAGTTTATTTAAATTTGAGCTTGTTGCTACATGAAGCCCGTTAGGATTGTGTTTATGTTGGTTCATGAGCGTTAGACATATATATGCTATTGTATACACACTTTTAATTAGTTTTGAATATAATTTGAGATTGAACACTCTTGTGAGAGTGTGTGACTCTAGGTTCTTGAGTGAGTCAATTTTCTTTGATTTTATCAAGAGGCTAAGACTTTTGTGGCGATCGTTCCTTGGCTTATCAATTTTACGATTGTGGCGCCATTTTCCACCTTTATTCTATTTTCACTTTTATTAATTTTCTTCTTGTTTTAATTCCTATTTGTGCCCGAATAATTTTGATTTTGTTGTGTGAAATTCAATTCAAGATCGTTTAATTCGGCAATATAGATTGTAATTGTCATCAATTGGTATAAAAAACTTTGGTTAAAATTAGATGAAAAGGTAATGTTCATGATTATTGTTCACCTAGTATTGTTCATCGCACATTGTTCACGTAACGCTCATTGAAAAAAAAGATAAAAAAATATTATAAGAAAAGAGAAAAAAATTACAACACACAAAAGTGAGTTTTTGACGTATTTCTTGCAATTTCAATTTGTTTTTGCTTGGTTTATCATTGATTCCATACCAAAAAAAATTTGGTTGTTATTTAACGTTACATAATTTTTTTTAAATTTTCTATTTTTGTCTTATTTACATTTTATTTTTTAGTGTGCTAATTTCTTGGTTAGTCTTTTTTTATTATTATATTGTTAGCTTTCTTAGTTTTTTTTTAGAGTTTTCTTTTATTGACTTCACTTATTTCTTGTTAATTGATTGTCTCTTAGTTTTGGTTGATTGTGTGGATTGAAAGTTGACTTCCTTAAGAACTCTTGAGAACACTTGAGGGAAAAAAAAGCAAGAAAAAAATCCTTACACAAGAGCCAATTTAGAATGAAACACGAGTGAACATCTACTGAGTGAAAATAAAGATTTGAAAGAATGTTTGAAAGCTAAAATGAAGTAATAAAGAATATTCAAGAGACTTTGACAAATAATGTAAAAAAGCGGTCACGTGATCGTTCTCTACATGCCCATGGAGATTCTAGTAATTTTTCAAGAGAAAGAAAAAATATAAAAGATGATGAAGAGAGTTCTTTACATGCCCATGGAGATTCTAGAAAATTTTCAAGAGAAAGAAGAAATATAAAAGATGATGAAGAGAAGATGTATGATAGAAGGAGAGATAATAGAGAAAGGAGGAATGAAAGGAGGAGAAGAGAAGAAGATAGAAGAGTAAGAGAAAATGAAAGGATTAGTGGAGTTAAAATAAAGATTCCTAGTTTTCATGGAAGGAATGATGTTGAAGCATACTTAGAGTAAGAATTGAAAATAGAGTAAGTATTCTCATGCCATAATTATAATGAAGTAAAGAAAGTAAAGGTGGCTTCTCTAGAGTTTCATGACTATGCTTTGATGTAATGAGATCAAATTCAAAGGGAGCGAAGGAGATATGACGAGCAGCCTATAAATACATGGATTGAAATGAAGAATTTAATGCGTAGGAGACTTGTTCCTATATACTATAATAGAGAGCTTAATACAAAACTTCAAGGCTTGAGGAAAAGTGTAAAAAGTGTTGATGACTATTACAAAGAAATGGAAGTTGTCATGACAAGAGCTAATGTATTTAAAGAAAGAGAAGTAACAATGACTTATTTTTTGAATGGGTTGAACTATGACATTCATGACATAGTGAAATTTCATCCCTATGTAGAACTTGAAGATTTGGTTCACCAAGCTATTAAAGTATAAAGACAACTGAAGAGAAAGGGGACTTTGAGAAAAAGTGTTTCTTCTTATAACTCAAAAGGATGGAAGGAAGAAATAAAGAAGGAGGAAACATCAATTAAGGATACAGTTGTCTAAAATGGTAAATTTTCTTCTAAAATTTCTTTTAATTCTATTAATACTTCTATTTCTCTTACTTATCAGCATAGAGTAATCAAATGTTTCAAATGTCTTAGAAAAGGCCATATCACATCCTAATGTCCAAATAAGAAAACTATGATTTTGAAAGAGAATGGTAAAATCTCAACTGCAAGTTCATCTCAATCATCACATGCTTCAAGTGAAGAAGATAGTGAGTTTGAAGCTTTATGCTACAAGGAAGATTTGTTTATGTTAAGGCGTCTCTTAGATAGTTTAGCGAAGGAGGATGACACTACACAAGAAAATATTTTTCATTCAAGATGTTTGGTACTTGGAAATGTTTGTTCTCTTATTATTGATGGTGGTAGTTGTATCAATGCTAAATCCTAATTAGCACTCTATATCCACACACAAAGTACTAATGATATGATATTAGACATCATCCCCAAACTAATTATTTATCTCTGCCAATTCTTCTAATGTCAAGTCCTCATCATATTGATCTTCATTGTCAGCAATAATCTCTGTGCTAGCCACATGCTCTCGAGTGAACGTGATTAGTCTTTCCATATGATCATAGTCGTGGTAAGTGTACATTTAGTTTACCGCATCTGGCGTTCAAACCATCTATAGATTATACCACTAATAAGGTAATCGAAAGGAATCTTATACTCTTGTCATTTCCAAGGTAAAAATATCTCCAGACCCACTAATACTATCAACCACAAATTTACATTAACATATCCACTATTACTCTCTAAATACATAATTAAGTGTAC